AAAAAAATATTTGTATTTTATTTTAACACTTTATTAATAAGTGTATTTAATGTAGGTGTGACATTGCCTGTTTTTGAAAGTTACCAGGATGGTACAGACACTTATGAATTAGCGGGTTTAGCTAGAGGAGGTCAACAGTTGGCTAAACTTAAGAAAAATTATCAAACTGCAATTAAACTCTTGGTTGAATTAGCATCATTGCAAACATCTTTTGTTACTCTGGATGATGTTATTAAAATAACAAATAGAAGAGTCAATGCTATTGAACATGGTATGCATTCAAATTAAAGTATATTCTCATCTTGTGTATTTTATTGTTATGTTTTTTTTTTTATATTATTATTTATTATGAATCTAATTTTATAATAATTCCTTTTCTAGTTATCATACCCAGAATTGAAAAAACACTTGCGTACATTATTTCTGAGCTTGACGAATTAGAGCGAGAAGAATTTTACAGGTATATTTATAGTTCAAGTATATTTGTACAATTTACTCTTATTAAGTTTGTTAGTATAACTACTTCCATTTTTTCATCCCCATATAGTTGACTATCTATACTTCCGCTGTTTAATAATATCACATCTGTCCACAGAAGTTAGCCACTTTAAATAGTTCACGACTTTATTAAAGTATATTTATAATTATTCTTTGTGAAACAAATATATCTAAAAAAAAAAAAAAACACAATTAACCTATTATAAGCTAATCTTTTATTATGAACAAAAAAATATTTTTGAAATAAAAATTATTTATTTATTTTAAGAATGAATACTAACAAAAATGTTTCTATGAAATTTCTTGTATTTTATATGATATTGCCTAGTTCATGACAAAAGAATCAACCTGTACAATATATTGGTATAATTATTTATCTAAATTTTTTACTTAAGAATTTTGTTATGTATTTATATTATTAAGGTTAAAGAAGATTCAAGATAAGAAGAAAATTGCCAATAAAAAGAAAGAACAACTTAAGAAAGACATGAAAGAAGCTGATTATGGTAACATGTTGGATGAAGGAGATGAAGATTTGTTATTTTAATTTAAATAATATTAAATTTATTTTGTTTTTAATATACAATATGAATTAGATACTCTACAAGGATATTAAATGATTAAAAAAATAACTGTACTTCATATTCTTATAGTAATTAATATAAAATCAAATTAATGTTTACATTATTCACAATAGTTTTATCATTTTTTTTAGTTACCATGTAATATGTCCAATCATTCTTATTAAACTTAGGTAAATGAACTATACTTGATGCAAATTATTGCTTTTATTTATGCATAATATATAGCTAAAAGAACCTAAAAAATAAGAATTCTATGGTTGAATTGTTAAGTTGGAAAAATAATGTATTTTTTTAAGATACAAATTAGATATATGTTTTATTAGTTATAAATTAATTGATTTATGTAAAAAAATTAGAGTGTTCACCATAGGTAATAGATTTTTAAATAATTTTATTTATTTTTTTATGTAATGAACATTCCATCGATCTACTCGCTATCTAGATAATATTTCATCAAACTTTTATTTTGTAAGTAATGAAATAAATTATTTTAACATGCATATGTATTCACCACACCATAAAAAAAGTTATTGTTTTTATTAATGTTGTTAATTACAATATTCTATATTTACATACATATTAATGACTTATATGTTGTGTCATACTTTATGAATACCTTTACTGTTACCAATTTTGATCAATAGTATAGAATTAATATATTATTTAAAATATTAGTTAATAATGTAAATTTTTGAAATACTAAGTTCTAAATATTTATACTATTTAATTATTTGAAAAATGTTCAAAGTGAATAAGTATTTAATAATTTTCAAAAACAAACTGAATGTGTATAATAGGTTCAAATTTGTTTTTTAAGTGTTTTTTCTCCTTAAAGCTATTTTTTCTAGACTAAAAAATGTAGAAAAGGTAAAATACAAAGTCAAATAACTAAAAGCACAAAAACATAAAATTGTGACAACCATAATATTATATACTTTCAAGTTCTACTTCCATCATTTTATAATGTACTATAGATATATTTTCATCTGTAAATTTGTGTCACATGATGGTTTATTACTGACCTGTGTTTAAAGAAATGATATGGTTGTAAAGATTTTATCAAATACTTTAAATAGTTTTAATCAATAAACATATATTCATATTAAAATTAATATTGTTTTATGAATCTACAAAATATTCTCTAGTGTCTATAGTATAGGTAAATCATAAATTACACATTATACATGAAATTATTTTCCAGTCATACCTTGCTAGTTTTTTCTCAAATATCTCTAGAAACCTATCTATAAGTTGTACTAAAAATAACATTTTTTTTAAAATTTTAATTGATATTATGCTGAGTGAATCGAAATTTATATTACAGTCATTTTGTTAAATAAATATTAAAAATAGAGAAAAACGTATAGTATAGTATGAAAGTTTTTTTTTTTATTTAAAAACATCAAAAATGATTTTATATTTTTTTATAATATTTTAGAGAAATTTTGAGAATTAACTTAGGAAATTCAAATGGGAATATCTATATAGTTTTTTTTTTTTTTTAACATAATATGAAGGAAACAACATTAATTAATGGAAAACTATGCTTGAAAATGATTTAGTTTTTTGACCACACAGCACACGTATGTAATGGATAATGTTACCATTAACTATTAAATAGTATTTAGTGGTACCTATGTGGTCAAATTGCAATTTTTAAAAAACTTAAATCGCTGTTAAGCATAGAGTTCAGTGGCATGACAAAGTGGTTTTTTTTAGCCACAGCTCCGTTGATTTTTGGGGGTAGTGGTGGTGGTAATGTTAAATTTATAAAATGCATTAGGTACTTCTGAATTATGAATTTGAGAATTTTTAGTATATAAATATTTAAACACTATTTCTATAATCCTAAAAATTTTAAAGAGATCGTTCTCGAAGATAAAATTAATTAAAACTTGACTTAAATCCACTATGATGCAAAAAAGACTCATGTTACCTATTAGATATCATGTAAAAGGATATAGTTTTATATCCAGAAGAAATTTTGAACAAATATGCTTTTACATCTTCAGTGCTACAAAAAAAAAAAAAATTATTGTTTAACTAGATAATAATATAACTTAATATTAAATTTTTTATCTGCATACTTTCATATTATTATTGTTATATTTCCAATTAGTTATTATTTATGTATTCTGTGGAAAGTAAAGTAGGTATACACACTTAAATGTTATAAACTAAGAGCTTATATATTTATATTTTTTTTTTTTAATACGAGACGTTTAAAGAAGTTTTTTTAATATTTTTATAAATTATATTTAATTAAAATGTTAGTATGAATACTATAAATCTTTATAATATAAACTAAATTATACTGTATACCTAATGGCTAATTATGATAAATTAAAAAATTGAATTGTTCTTTGACTTCATACCAAAATATATCAAAATTTAAAAAATTGAAGTTTCTAAATGTTAAATTTTTATAAGGTATGCAATGTATACTTACATCGTTACATGGTGGTTTTGTAGAAAAAATCAAAAACAAATTTCTACCTGATAAAAATGTATTTTTTTTTTACCCAATTTGTATATTTAACACATGGTATTTGTTGTGAGTGAAATGAGCAGTTTTGGTATAGGTACATACTGTTGTGAATGGGTGGATCATGGGTAGTTGGATGGATAAAGTATACTT